GTACGTTAAATAGTTGTATGTTCAGTGTCTAGTGCTTGATTAGATATTAACTAACTAATCAAATTAGATATGTGCTTGATTAGTGGATAATCTGACTGATTAATCAAACACTATCTTAGCTGGTTTAAAATATTCTTGTTCTTGATAATAGAGCTTCCAAAGCCTTTGACGCTTATCTAACATTCTCATTACAGATAACGTAAGCTTAGTCAAAGACTCAGGAATAATCCCCTTGTCTATAGCCAATATTTTAGCCTAATTTCGAGGATCAATGACCCAATTTGAGTATGGCCATTATGCATTTAAAAACAATAAATTAAAGGAAAATATCGTATGATATACCTTTGCACCATGCGGATACATTGCAAATCAAAGTTTTACGGTATCTTATAGGTTTGTTATTTTAATGATCCGGGTTAAACCGAACCAAAAGCAAATAAGAACAAAAGATAAAATTGAGGGTTTGAGAGATAGTAGATGCTCTTAGTAAATTATGAGAGATAAACTGTAAAGTTATTTTTAAATCTTTGAAGATCACTTGCATGTGTCCAATAGATCGATCTAAATCAAGAACCGGTTTAAACCAGACTAGTCAGAGACAATACACGAGACTTAACGAACCTTATGTCCGGTTATGAGCAATTTGCCTTCACTAGAAAAAGCCATAACGCCAAAAGCTGAAGCAAATATTATTAAAACAGTTTTTAAAATTTACATTTTTAGGCAATGAACTTACCTCCACATAAAACGCAATTTTCACAACTCTTTTTGCTAGTTATGTTAATTCCATTGCTATAATTGTGTAACATCACTTACATGACTTTTGCTTGCATCTTTTTTTGTATATGAACCTGCAGGACTTATCACCAAATCTCAAGTCAATGCTAATTGAGGCTAATGCCTAAAGCACTTTTAACCATTTGTCACCATTCATTTGAATTGAAGAAACAAGAATGAAAAGAAATGTAATATAAATCCACTTTATTGATGTTCCACTTTCTAAAATGAATGACCAAATACCAAAAGCGTGAGAAACCATATTTGACATTACCATTATCATGCATGACATTTTAAGCTTTATATACATACATACACAAATGAGATTGTAATCAATTTCAAGTGAATATTGTTTGCTGACTTGTAAAGCTTTGGAAAACTTGCACGAACAAAACGATGTTCATAATTACACTCTAAAATGGTAAAAGAGGATTTAACGGAAATCTCTCATACTCATGATTTCTAGAAATTCTCATGGGAAGTGAGAAAGATGATGAATCTTTGAAGTGGCACAATGACTCTGATTTCACATATGCTACTTGATTTTCCACTTAAAATGTTCATCGTTGGGTTTTGAAAGCATTTTCATGGTTGAGGCAAATATAGGAAGTGATCAAGTGGAATATGCATGCACATCACAAACAATTTGAGCAAAAAGGGTCCAAGATTCGAACTTTTTTGATGTTTTAGAACAAACCCTCTCTGAGATGCTGTAAGAAATTCAAAACTACTACAATAAGAAATCATACATGACAATAGTGACTGTTGAATCCCAAGTAAGGGACTGATTACATGACTTAGAAACATTGAAAATGTCAGAAGCATCTGACTCTTCATTGATTGATCCCACACTTTCACAAATGTGTACACATATAATAGTTATACAAACACAGACACATTGATTTGACGTTTACGAAAACAAATGAGCATAACGGAACAGAGGTGGTTCCCTAATTAACTTGTGAGAGAGGCGACCGTGTTAGCTGTTGCAGTTTTGATTCCTTGGTCGCAAAGGATTCATAAGAGTTGTTCTCATGGAACTCTTCAAGCAATGTCTCTATTGGCATGGCTCGTAGCGATTCAGTGGCGGCTTTGGTTGGGACCTCTGGTTCAATCGTTGCTATAGTTGTCCCTGTGGGCTCATACTCTTGCGGTTTACCAAATGAGAGCTTGAGGATAAGATTCTTATGAAAATGAAGATAGTAATGTTATTATTTTACTGCGAAAACAACTTACCATGTATCTTTGTTGAAAAGTTTCTTGAGCATTATACTCAATACTTCTGGATTGGTAACAATGATCCTGTTGGAAACTTTCAAGACATTTTCCAAGATTTGTGATACAGAAAGTTGGATATCTATTTTGCTTGTTATAAGAATGATCATCCCAAGAAACTCTTTTTAGACCTAAGAAGGATCAGAACCGAGGAACAATCATGGGTAACAAAGAAAAGTCACGATCAATTTGCTAGATCTTCAAGGAACCAAAGCAGGCATAGAATCTATCAAATACATCAACACCATCATCTCCCTGGTATGTCTCTAGCTCAACTATAGACTCAGGATTTTGCCTATGAAAGACAAAGGAAAATAGTTACTCTAAGCGTAAACACAAAGGCAGAATAAACCACTTACTTCTAGTAGCTCAAGCCGGTAGTTTCTGAGCTTTGCAAATTGTGAGTCATGCTCTTCTCTACAACTTAGCCTGATCCCCTCTAAGGATTACCTAAGAGAAGATTACTGCATGCAGAACATATACTACAAGATAAGCCGACGATTCTCTGCAGCTGAGAAAGGCAAGGGACTTGAAATGGCTAAAGAACCTCCCAGAGCCTCAAGATTTAGGGTGCCACACTTTGACCCTTCGGAACTAATCCATAATCACAAGCTGATGTTGGTTGGACGCATTACTAACCCTAAGATACAGAAGATGTGGGCTCTCCTACCTTTCCTCGCTGACCACTGGAAGGTATCATCTCGACCGA